CAGCAAACTGGTGGCACTGGGGAAAGGCCGGAGCAGGAGCCTGGCAGAGAGGGATTGCTGCCAGGGGTATAAAAAATAAAGAGATATTTATTAGCCTGGAATAAAGTGCGACCTCAACGGAGTTTTACGCTCAAAAGCCCCATAATTGGGAGGAGCAGAGCTGGGGGGGCTCTGGGGGGGGGCCCCGAGCGAGGCCGGGCTGAAAGGATACAAAAGCTGGACAAAGGCCTTTAAAAAAAAAATAAACCAAATAGAAACAACATCAGATAAATTATTTACAGTTCGAATCGATCCCGGGGAACAGGAGGGTGAAGGCTCACGAGCTTCTGTGGGCTGAGAGAGGTAAAAAATAAAGGGGGGGCTGAGAGGGGACGGGCCTGAGGGGGTGTTTCTGTGGAGCTTGGGGGGGTTCATGGAGGGTTGGGATCATCCTGCGGCACCAGGATCTGCTCCGGGTGGGGCAAAGGGGGCAGGAATTTGCCGTGATTTCCAGCAGGAAGGATTTAAGGCAGGAGTTGGGCCCTTTCCCTGGATGTTCCTCCTAAAACTCAGACACCGAGCACGAGTGACGAGACTCGGCGGAGCTGCCGAGGGGCAGGGGGCTGCCCGGGGCTGGGGGGGGCCACGTGAGCCCCTGGGGTCCAGCCCCAAATCCATCCAGGAGCCGTTTCTGAAGAGGTCACCCCACAGGGACAACGGGAGATGCTCGTCGTGGCACTAGGAACTGCCAGGAGCAGCACCCTGGGGACAGGTTTCAGCCTGGCTCGCCCCCAGTTCATGCTGGAAGAGCCCTTTGGGTCTGGATCCACCCCAGGGGACACTGCCAGCACCCCAGGGGACACAACAGCCTGCCCAAATCCTCTCCTTATCAAGAACCCCCTTTCCAGGGCTCAGATCTTCTGCAGGAGACCCCGAGCCACGCTCCGTCTCCTGCAGTGACACAGCTCACTGTCACCCTCCCTGGCACACAAGGGTGAAAGGAATTTAATGGGGGGGGGGAAAAAAAAAAC